CTCTATTACTTTCTTCTCCTACGCAAATCTTTGTTTTTCCTGGAGTTAATAATTGTTTTTTTTAAGTGGTTGAGTTTTCTCTGTGCTTTACTAATTGAAACCCAAATACTCTTATAGCTATATGAATCTCTTCTTCACATATCCAGACACCTCAGGGCCTCCACTTATGTCATGATGAAGGAATCTCTTGCAGCCTACAGACCATCTGCATTCTAGTGCAGTCACCATCTTGATCCCTTCACCTCCCTTCTGTTGTATCTCACTTCCTACTCTTCCTGGATTTTGCTTTCTTGTTCTTTTGTACTTCCTGACAAAAGGCACACGGGAGGTAAACATTTTGGAGGAATTGTGTATCTGACAAGATTTTTACTCTTGATGGGCCATCTGGCTGGGTATAAAATTCTAAGCTATATATAAGTCATTTTTCTCCAGTATTTAAAAGCTTCACTCCATTGTCATCTAGTTTGTAATAGTCCTGTTAAAAAGACCAAAGTCTTTCTGGATCCTAAGCCTGTCTATGAATTGATTTTCTTCCCATTGCCCTCTGAATGCCCTTCATTATGAACGTCCCTTTATCTATTTCATTGATGGACCTTTCAGTTGTACCACATGTCATTCATTCTGAGACATTCTTGAATTCTTTCTATTACAATTTCCTCCTGCCCTTCCCTCCATTTCTCTTTTTTCTTTTGGATCCTCAGTGATTTAATACTGGGTTTCCTGAACTGTCCACTTCTTTTATTCTCTTTCTTATTTATTCATCTCTTTATCTTTCTGCTTTTCTTCCAGAAGGGTTTTCTTACTACTATTATCTCTACTCTTTTATTAAGCTTTTTATTTCTGCTAGTGCATTTTTAATTTCTAACAACTCTTATCTCTGAATTTTTATACTATGTTGTGAATTTTAGATTACCTTTCAGTATACTATTTTATAACATCTTGTGGTTTGTACTTGCAGTATCTTCTTTTGTTTCTTTGATATTAAGGACAGTGCTGCTATTTTTCCTTGTAACATTTTTCCTACCATTTTTCTGCATAACATACAAATCCTATAATTATCCCCATCCTCCTATTTTTGGTTTGTTCTATTTCAATGTTTCTCTTTTTACAGGCTTTATCTGATGTGTAGTACTGTTTGGTAATTTGTTCATATTTGGCAGTGGGGATTCAAAACTCTGGAAGTGGTGGACCTGTGACAACATGAACAGAGTTGTTGACTCTAAACCTCAGTATAGGGTGATCTGTCTGGGCCTTTCTTTTTAGAAAGATTTTTGTACTTATTTATGCATATAAGGACTAGGGTATAGGTCAAGTTTTGGGGGCAGTGCAGTGAGAAGATTCACCAGAGACAGAGTGGGGAGCAGAATAGGCGGACTGACTGAAAGGGGAGTAGCGGGCGCACCATGTGGGTCAGCTCCCTGATCAGGGATGGAACTCCTGCTGCAGTGGCTGCTGATAGCTTCATGGTAGTGAGACTTAACCCCTTGTACCATCAGGGAGGCCCCTATCTGGGCCATTTTTAATGAAGAATTCCCAATGTCAGTATTTTTTCTAGTTTTTGGTTTTTTACAAATGTATATAAATATGTATATGGATATATGTATGTACATATACATAGATAGACAGTATGTATGTAGATGTAAACACAGGTTATATGTACACATATAATTTCAATAAAGAGGGAACAAAGAAGAAAGCAATGAACTGTGATTTCCCAGAAAAGATAACCCCTAATGATATGAAAGTATAAAGGTATTCATACATTCATTCATCCAGTTAATGTTTATAAAGCCCTTCCTAAACAAGGCACTGGGCCAGGACTGAGTATATAGCAGTGAAAAATCAAAGTCTCTGCTCCCCTGGAGCGTCCATTCTAATCTGGATGTTACATAGAACATTAGTCTGCAGTAGCTTTTCCTACAGTTACGGAAATGTCCTAGACTTGCACAGTCTAGAACTGCCACCAGCCCTTGCTTGCTACACCCTTGGTGGTCGGTGGTCGTGACTAAGGAACTGCATTTTGAATTTTATTCGAGATTTACATTCAGATAGCCACTTGTGCCTAGTTGTATACCACCATAGGCAGCACTGGAAAATGCCATCCTTGCAGAGCCCTACAAGGGAATTGGCCATCTCACCTGACTTCAACTTGCCCATCTAGCAAATGTGCACTTGGCCTCCCACGGAAGGCAAGCCTCCTCACTTCTAGGACAAAGGAAACACATCTCTCACAGAAAAATAAGGAAACATGATTTCTCCTCCCAGCCAGCTTTAGAAAGTAACTCCATGAGAGACAGTCACTGCTTAATCACATAGGATGGGAACAAAAGCAAGTATCCTGTCCCTAAAGTAAGCCTTGAATCAGTGAACAGAACACATGTATGCATATGCACATCTCTACATTCTTTATAAAAGCACAGGATGTCCTTGTCTTGTTTTTTCCACAGAGGAAAATTCCTTGGCATCTTTCCCATATTTTTGAAATCTTACTTCTCAGTTCCAGTGCCTGCCCCACAGAATTCCCACTACCCTGAATTTATTCAAAGGATATCCCTATATTCACTCTTCATTTAAGTACCTTTTCTGTACCATGTGCATTACATGGTAAGCCACAGTGAGCCTGACAGAGCTTAAATTCTAGTGGGGAGAGATGGACAATCAAATTAACAACTGAGATTGTTTTATAGGTACAAAATGATAAGAGCTACAGACAAAGCCAAATTCTCTCAAAAGTGAATTTAGGAGACTTGGGGAAAAGGCAACAAAGCATATTTTTAAATAGGGAGGTTGGGAAAGTGCCTATTGAGCAAACACTTGAAGGAGGTCAGAAAGCAAGCCAGGAGGCTTTTTGGTGAAAATTGTTCCAGTAGAGCAAACAGCTTGTGCCAAGTCCCTGTGGCAGGAGTGTGCGAGATGACCCAGGAAGTGAGCAATGACTGGTATAGGAAGCATTTATGGGAGATACAGGCAGAAGATTAAAGAGAGATGGTGAGGGCAGCATAGGACCTTGTAGGTTGGAGGTAGCATAAGTCACCCCAAGTCAGGTGGGGAGCCAGAGCTGAGAATCGAAGGGAGGGTGCTGAATCAAAGGTTAAAGTTCCTCTGGCAATAGAAACAAAGGATTAAAAAGGATGGAAAGTGAAGGCTGTTAACTCTGCTCCTCAAACCTTCCCAGACAGGAAGCCTTTGTTCTTTGGGTCTTTCCCTCCCCTCCTCTACCCCTTGCTACCATCTCTTAAGCATCTCTGAAATCTCCATCTTATCCTAATCCTCGGTACCTCCTCCCTTCTTCAGCCTGACTGTGGAAATTCTAAATTTTCCCCGAATTAAACTCAAAGAGTAATTCACCTTTCACCCCCAAGGGCATTTTCCTATACAAAGAGAAACCTAGAGAGAAGTTGCAGTTTGCCTACAAGGCAGCAGTGCCTGCAGGCAGTAGCAGTATTTTTCTTGCCTATATTTACTATCCTATCCTATATATATGTTTCCAGATGTCAGCTGGGATCTCCCTGCCTCTTAGGATCTATTTGAAATTAACTCCAACCATGGGTACTAAATGTCCTCCCCAAGTTTCCAGTCATTCTGGGGCTTCACCTTCTTTGTTTGAACCTCCAGTTTTTGCTTTAGCTAGATACAGCCCATTTGGGGACCTGCTCTGTCTGCCTCCCCATTGGGGACAGAGTAATTCTGTCCTTTTTCCATAATAGCTAAGCAACCAGCATATGCACTTAAGACATTTATGTGCGGGCATATGAGTGTGTGGAAAGGGATCAACTGGAGATATGGGGACACAGGTATTTATATTAACAGAAAGGCAAACAACTGAAAACTCCAGGTGACATGTTCTTATATTCACTCCCTGCCTTCCTGGTAATTCTGGGCCCAGCCTGTTCCTGATGACTCCTGCTTTGCACTGCCCAGTAGCATTTAAGTTGGGTAAAATTTCCATTCCTTCATGACATTGCTCACATTCTCAGTGCTCAAAGGCCACCATGGGCTGGTGGCCACCATGTTAGACAACACTGGTGAGACATTTTCATCAGGGAAGGGGGTTCTATTGGCCAGTGCTCTACTAAACAGAGGTATCTCTCACCATGAGCTAGCCTGCTATCTGAAATTAAAGTAACCAAAATTTTATCCCACAACATATGTAAAAAAAGTGACAGAAAAAGAAAAAGCATAAGAAACAAACATAAATAAATAAATCACACGGAGTTCTACTCTACATTAGATTCTGAAACTAGTTTTTGTCTTTTGCTCCTTTGTTTTTTCATCCTTGGTGGTGTTCTGAGGTTTGTATTCATTTGTTCACTCATTTATTTAGTCCACAAATACTTATGACCAGAACTGAGCAGGGAGTCAAGCCTCGCACACCCTCTTGGACCCTGCCCTCATGGGGCTTGCAGTCTCAATGAAGAGGCTGAGAGTTGTCAGATAATAAAAGAAACGTAAAATGGCAGCAGTTGTGACCTGAGCACCTGCCATGTGTCATGAGGCATCCTCACTGTATGTACCTCTGAGAACTGAATTTCACATTTCCCATGTCTTCCTACCACATGCTGAAAATTAGGGCCTGATGGGAGAACCCCACAAGTGAAGATGTGTGTCTGGGTTCTGCATTCCCCTGTTTGAAGAATGGAAGTGGCCCTTTTTACCTCACAAAATGTGGCAAAGATTAGATGAATTATTGCCTGGGGGCCTGGCACCATCAGTAGACAGCAGGCATTAGCATTATTATTCATCTGATCCTCTTCCTGAGCTGCTTCCTCCTCTTGACAATGGAGGAAGGCACCAGACCTTCTTTTCACCAACCCTGGAAGGGAGGTATGAACTTCTCTCCATTTTACAGATGTTGACACTGAGGCACAGAGACACACTGGCTTGCTCCAGAATTCACTTGCTCCTTAAAATTTGTAGCCATTGGCCAATAGGGGTGAAAGGGCTTCAGGGCTCTGCCAGGAGAGCTGGGGCTGATCCCCGCTTCGTGCCCCCATCCCCAGGAAGCTGGACGCCTTCATCTATGACGCGGCTGTGCTGAACTATATGGCTCGCAAGGACGAGGGCTGCAAGCTGGTTACCATCGGCTCGGGCAAGGTCTTTGCCACCACAGGCTATGGCATCGCCCTGCATAAGGGGTCCCGCTGGAAGCGGCCCATCGACCTGGCACTGCTACAGTTCCTGGGGGATGGTGCGGCTGCAGGCAGAGATGGGGATTGGGAGAGGGGGGAAATCCTGGCTTCTGGGAAGGGGTGGGGATGAGGACCAGGGTACCTGGCTCTGAGGGAGGAGGGGGTTGGGTGTCTAGAATCCCAGACACTCAGGGGAAGAGAGGGTCCTAAAAATCCGCTTCCCCCTTCCTCCAGATGAGATTGAGATGCTGGAGCGGCTGTGGCTGTCAGGGATCTGCCACAATGACAAGATTGAAGTCATGAGCAGCAAGCTGGACATAGACAACATGGCGGGTGTCTTCTACATGCTGCTGGTAGCCATGGGCCTGTCTCTTCTAGTCTTTGCCTGGGAGCACCTGGTGTACTGGCGCCTGCGGCACTGTCTGGGGCCCACTCACCGCATGGACTTCCTGCTGGCCTTTTCCAGGGTATGGATGGTCCGAGAGTGGGGGGCAGAGAGGGAGAGATGGGGGGCAGGGAGTGAGCAGGCTGGGCTGAGGTATGGGAAAAGAGGGAGGGACTTGGAAAGACAGGTGGTCCCCCCAACCACGCTGACAGTGCTCTCTCCTGGCGGGCCTCACAGGGCATGTATAGTTGCTGCAGCGCGGAGGCCGCTCCGCCCCCCGCGAAGCCCCCGCCGCCGCCTCAGCCTCTGCCCAGCCCTGCGTACCCCGCAGCCAGGCC